ATTAATCTCATGTTTTGCAGTGAACTTTAAATTTGTATTAGAGAGACAAAGAATGACGTTGCATACACCTAATTTGCATGCCCAGATAAGGCAATGTCTCACCCAAATTTAGGTGATGGAGAGGGCCAACTTACCTGACATAATTGTCTAAGTTTCCTAAGTAGGCAGTGATAGAGAAAGGCTTTGGCTATGTGCAGCAAAAAGTCCCATGTATTTACATTTTGAATGCATTGTAGTCTTAGAACAGGATCTTAGAAATATCAGGAAATGCCAAATATCTCTGCTGACTCAGAATTTAGTTCACCAAGCTTTTCTTGTACTGAGCAGCCAGTGCTGCTGCTCTTTTTTGTAACAGTCTGATACTGAGGTACTCAGCTAGAAAGTGAGGATTCCTGGGTTCTTGGCCTCTTCAGTATAATGAACTGTGGATCCTGACCCCATGAGTCCAGATTGTGTGGTTCTTACCATGCTTTGAAGCTGAATCATAGCGCAGCTCACTCTTGTGAGGCCACAAAGAACACAAAGAAGCAGCAACTCCAGGAACTTCATACTACCAGTTATTTTTAAGGACTTAGTGCTTCCTTATGTACACAAGGGAGCATGTGGACGTGTCTGGTTTAGTGTCCAAAATTAGTATGCATCTGAAAACAAACAAACAGACAAAGGACCATATTCAAGTCACTTAGCTCCATCTAAAATTCATTGAGTCTTGTGCCCTATTGTCTGCGTATGGGTTTTCCAAAGCATGTATTCAATGGAAATTTTAAGCTAAGTGGGATTTAAACTGCCTGAAAATAGCCCCAATGCAGCAACATCAGGATTATGGGGAGACTCTGGCTTCAGTGAATCTGTGCAAATATGGAGCCCTTGAGCTATTTTACTGATGCTGGGAGCTGGGTAGGATGCAGAAGTGCTGCAGGAAATCTAATCCTGTTTTCTTTCTGCTACCTAAGCTTGAGAAGAGAAGATCTCAGGATGGGACATGCCTATGTCTGTGAATGTGGTGCTCTGTTTTGATAACACAGAGCTTCAAAGAATATTACGTGTCTGAGAGAGAGTATTTGGTAGTTCAGGCAGTGCAGACTGAGATTTCTAGGACCATAGGACCTCTGCATAAGTCAGCCATAAATTTGAATTACTTGGGACTTTTGGGAAGAGTTACAGAGAAAATAGCTACAAGAAGAGGATTTATTTGTGTGGCTACTTTTTCACTTAGTTAAAATCAAGGAATTTGATGGCTTAAATGCAAAGTGTTCATATGTAGTTGTTTTGTCTGTGGACTTAAGACATCTGTAGGTCTGTCCTAGTAGTAGCAACAGTACGTGGAAGATGGTCTGCTCTTCGCGTGATAAATGGCTAGCTTAACTGTGTAAGGAATGTGTGTATGTTATAAAATGTCATCTGTATAAGGAACCAAGTGAGCCCTATTAGTACTTCAAAGTGTCAATATTAAGAATTGTAATTATAATTTTAGACTAGACTTACATAACTCTGCATTCTTAAGGTAACTTGTATTTAACCTAAATTACTCTCCCCTTAACTATGGAGTTAGAATGAAATTCAGCTGTCACAGATAAGAGTAATGATATTTATTAATAGTGCAAATCATTCAAACACATGGAAAGAATTCAAACATGTGAAGCACATCAGGACAGGAGATCACAGTCCTTAAGGGACTGACTTATCCTTGACTGCTATGAGCCTTTATTATGCTAATGATAGATATATATTCCCAAAATCCGTTGCGTCTATCTATGCCTTACCCTTTGATTTCTTTATTAACTGTCCTCCCTTGTCACTACATATTCTTGTTAATTCAGATCAGGTTTTGCAGCTTGCGTCATACTTGCTATTTTTTACCAAAATGGTTTATTGAGTTCTCTAGCAGCTTATGTGCTTTTTCCCTCTTTGCCGCACCTCTCTACTGCTGCTGCCAGAAGGGCCCTGGGTGAGCTGCCACCAGTCTGACTCTGATGCTAATGGACTTCCTGTGTTTCTACAGCAGTCAAGGCAGCCTAATTAATCATTCCCAGCCAACATTAATAAACATATTTTTGGTAATCTGGGGTAAACATGTTCATGTACTTTAGAATACTGAAAGTTTTATCTGAATATGTAATTTGGTTTAAGGCACTTACATAAACATTACAGTTTATGGTGGCCTTGGTGTTACTGACTTTGCTAAGATTGTAAATCCTTGGTATTTCTAAAGTCAAGATGCAAGTTTAGGTGAATAGTCGTGGGTTATTAGCTCACCTACTGCAGTTCTTTGCAAACACTGACCACTGTGATACAAGTAGATGGCACCTTTAGTATAATCAGTAAATAGATAAGCTGTTTATAGGTAGTAATGTCTTTAAGGATATAAACAAGAGCAAAACAGATAGACTAATGTAGATTATCAGCTGATAGACTGGATATAAGATTATTAGAAAGCTGTAAGAAAAGATGAGCAGTACAGAACATTTCCCATGAGCTTGTTTTAATATGAGGAGTCAGAGGTTTGTTTTGAAACACAACGTACTACTGCAGTGTGTACCTACTTCATTATACTTTCTTCAGTACAGGTATATCTTGCAACATCTTGTGCTCTCTCTTGGGACTAGATATATATGAAACTTCAGCAGCATAATTTTGCTCTTGTGCTAGTTTCTGAATTCAGCTACAATTAAATATTCAGCAGGGTACTCTAGCTAAACTCATGTAGCAGTTACGAAAGATTAATTCAGTGTTATGTTTCTGCTTAATGAAGGAGTTGAACTGAGCATTTCTGTTGAAAATTTCAGATTTTAGGTTTAGAAATTATGATCTTTATTATGCTTTATGAATGGAACATAAGATAATTGATCTATACAGAGTTATAAATTTTTACTGAAATCTTTCTCTTTCAGGATCTCAGGATCCCATCCCAGCATCTTAATCGCAGTCTTCATGTACTTTGTTGTCTTTACCTTGCATTTCAAAATACATTGTAGATACTTCTTAACTGGACACGCAGTAAATAACCTGTAGAAAAACTAAGGGCATTGCATAGCACAATGGTGTAGATTTGCAGATCTTTCTGTATGTTTTAAATTTTATTTGGATTTTCTGTTTCATCAATACCAAGATTTTAAATGATATGTGTATCTGAGGAAGGAATAGCAGCTTTGTGGCAATTTCTGGTAGAATTCATTTATAAGTGTTCCAAAAAAAAGAGATGAGAGAGCAACACAATTGCAGTTTCTTTCCCTTGCTGATCCTTTCTGTCTTCTTATTTTTCCTTATCTTCCCCATATCTTTCTCTTACAAAATTTTCTTGCATTATTAATGAAGTGCAGTCCCAGCAATGGTGTGGAATCCAAAGGGTGAACTTCATCAGCAAGTGGGAAGTCCTAATCCTTGTAAAGCCAGTATGCATAATAGATGATACTAAGCAATCCACAGTAGATGGTACCTGTTCAGCAATTGCTGTAAATGTGACATCGGTGATTCTATCTGTGTTTTTCCCTCTGTGTTTTACACACGGCATTGATTTAGGAAGATGTCCGTGGCTTATTACCATTAATGTTAGAATAGTAGAAAAATGTGGAAAAGGATTTGGGGATTGGTGTGAACTGAAAGCCATTAACTGGTTTACTAGCAAATTAGGGATTTGATTTCAATTATGATTCTGCTGCAAGTATTACACACTTTATTGTATAAATGAGGTTTTTTTCTGAATTTCATTAATAGACTTTACTCCAGCTAGAAGAGAAATCATGACCAGACTAACACTCTCCTAGAACACAAAAGATCAGCATCATATCTTTAAATGCATTTCCTGGACCTCCTCAAGAGGGAGAAGGAACACTGATTCCATCTAACTGTTCGCTTGGTCTTTAACTTGGATAAAAAGAGGTGTCACTTGTACATCCTGGACAGTCACCCATCCAGGACAGCAGGCACTGTAGCACTGTAGTATTTTCAGACTCTTGCATGACAGTCAGTGGCAGTTGCTTGTGGAAGGATGGAGAAACTCAAGGGCTGAAATTCAATAATCCTTTATGTTTTGAAACACTAATTATCTGTCACACAGTTGTGCTGCCTCTGAGCCGGCTGATGCACTGGGCTCTTATTACTGTGATCATCAGGCAAAAAGCAGAACACAAAAGGAAGGAAGCTAAAGAAAAGGAACTTTTGACTGAGTCAAAGGTTACAAAATAAGTAAAAATTGCCCAATATTATGTATTTTGTATCAGTAAGAAAAGGAAATTCATCTGATGTTCTGTTTACTGAGTTTGCAGTGATAGAGTTGATACCCCGCACTCTTAGAATGGGCCTATTTTGTATCATTTAACAATTTTATATAGTAAACAGATCTTTGTTACTTATGAGCCCTAAAGAGAGAGCTCCTTCTCCTATCAAAAGTTGTTTAGTGGATAAACAGAATAATTGAAGGCTGCATTCAGTGATGCTAATTGGTATTGGATTAAATCATCTAATCAAATTACTCTACTGTAAATTCTGTATACTAAGGTGCAATGTAATGTGGAATTTGTGTTTTAAGTGCATAAAGGTAGCCAGGAGTGTCTGCCAAAAAATACAGAACGTACGTAAAAGGCATTTTTTTATGTAATTCCAAGTTTGAGATTGGTATCTTTTATGTGTGAAAGTCCATTTGCATCTTGTATACAGATTTCTTCTTGATGTATGCTTTGTGTTTATGCTTTCTATGCCTTGTGTGTTTTATTCTGTGTGTACATGTTCTTTGTGGCCACCTTCACTCCCCATATAAATTTGTCTGTCCATTTATTATAGGTACTTGTCCGCTCCCACTGTATGTTTTTTTTCAGCATGCAGGTGATAATGCAGAACAATTCACCCAAATGCCATCCATGTAATTTCTGGTTTGGGTGTATTGGCAGCTCAGCCAAAACACAAACTTTCAAAATAAAAAATTTAAAACACAAGATTTCTGGTTTGGGTGCTTTGATAGCCAAAATACAAACTTCCAGTAAGTTTTACCTTTTGCATTTTAGGATTATAACGATGAAATTCGCCAGGAGCAGCTGAGAGAACTGTCATATTTGAACGGTTCTGAGGATTCAGCACGTGGACGGGGCATTCGAGGAAGGGGGATCCGTGTGCCACCTGCAGCTCCTTCAAGGTATGGTAACCTGAACTATTATGCTAATGGCTTTAGAAAGTATAACCAATGGCAAAACAAACGTATCTAAAAAAAAAATAAAATAAAGAAAATCACGTAGACATCATGGTCAGTGAACCAGAATGTTTTCCTTCTGATAACTTGTATGGTCTATGTCATGCCTACAGTTCTATGACCTATAGTTCACAGGCTGCAGTGAGTGGTGTACAGATATCAAACAACAAATCAGAGCAGATTATCAAGCTGGTGAAAGGATATTTCCAGGAAAGAATATTGCTCTGTCGGCACAGAATCAGTGTGGTCAGTAGCAGAAGATTGATGGTCAATGAAATAGTATAGTCAGAAAAGGCTACATAGTCTGTGTGGAACTTTATTTGTGAAACAATTACTTTTTTTTGTTATGTGTACTATACCTATAATACATATATATTGCATTAGATGTTATCTATTGCATTGGTTAACAGTTTTATATGAATTTGACTGTCATCATCTAAAAACACTGATGTATGAATGTTTCTTGAATTCTTCCAAGTATTTTTGCAAATATAGGTAACAGCTCTGCTTTTTCATGAGGCCAATGTACTCTTTCAGACTCCTTTTTCACTGTGAACCTTTAAGAAATCTGTTGCCTTGGGCACCTAAGTTACCTAGCAACTTCTAGGTGTCCAAAGACATCATTTCAGGATAAGTCCTAAGAAATCCACTTTTATTTTAGAGGAAACAGGATATGAGGTACCTTATTTCATGCTGACAGAGGAGTTGTTCTTTGGTAATTGAACTGGTTGATATTGCTTATGACCTTTCTTTTTTCCCCTGAAGGTGTCCATCATGTTTTCTCTCAGTTCTTCTTGAATGGAATTTTTTACCAGTAATATGATGCACATACATAGGATTTCTTACACTTGGCATTCATGACCATCTTCCACACAAACTCTTTTTGGACTCAGAAATGAGTCTTCCTTACACCTGAGATATCTGAAGGGCTTGACTTAATAATAACGTTCAGGACATCACTGCAACAGACTGACAGCTTTTAAATTAGGTTCAAAGCATAATCAGTGGAGTGCTGGCTCCTGCAAAATACCCAACTGATTGTATCAGTTGCACAGATAAAGGATCTTGGATGCTTTGCCTATTTTCCAGTCAGATATCCCAGGAGAATATTAAAAAAAACAAAAAACAAACGCAACTGAAGTATTTAAGATAAATATTTATGATAATAATTTATGGTAATAGCATAATGATAGTTATGGTGGTGCAGTTGATAAGCTGGAGGGAAGGGATGCCTTCCAGAAGAACCTTGACAGGCTTGAGAAGTGGGCCATGTGAACCTCATGATGTTCAGGAAGAACAAGTGCAGGGTCCTGCACATGAGTAATTACAAGTGTCAGCTCAGACTGGAGTATGAAGGCATTGAGAGCAATCCCTAAGGGAAGGACTTGAAGATATTGGTATATGAAAAGGAGACAACGTGTGCTTGCAGCCCAGAAAGCCACCTATATACTGGGCCACATCAAAGAAGTGTGGCCAGCAGGTCAGGGAAGTTGACTGTCCCCCTGTACTCTGCTCTCATGAGACCCCACCTTGAGTACTGTGTTCAGCTCTGGAGTTCCCAGCACAAGAAAGTCATGGACGTGTTAAAGTGGGTCCAGATGAGGGCCATGAAAATGGTCAGAGGCCTGGAGCACCTCTCCAGTCAGAAAGCCTGAGAGAATTTGGCTTGTTCAGCCTGAAAAAGAGAAGGCTTAAGGGAGCCATATGGTATAGTTACAAGAACTTCTTTTTAACCAGTAACAACTTCTTCTGACTTACCAAGTATTTTACAGAAAGGTGAATATAGTATAAATACACGGGAAGATGCTAAACCTCTCTGCACTTTTCTGTATGCGCTGTTCTTTCTGCACAGTAGAGGAAAGCAGAATCCTGTGCTACACTTCCCTTGTGCTGAAGTAAATTAGATGGAAAGAAAAGTTCTCACTCTCCTTTTATACACTTGCTCTTCTTTGCCTTGCAAGTTTCTGCCATACTGCAGCATATTCTGCCAATCAGTTTCTCCCACCCACCAATAAACATGGGAATGAGAGTGATGACTGCTGTCATAAAATAGTTTGAGAGCAACAGAAAAAGTTTCTCACTTTCTTTTCCAGAATTACTTTGGAGTAACTCTGCAGCCCTGTGAACTATGGTGATACAGAATTTCATTAGTACAAGCAACAAGATGAGGTGTAAAAGGCACTGGGTGGCTTAAAAATAATGCTTTTCCATAATATGAGTTCTGCCTGAGATATTGCCTAAAAGTGCTTGACATTGTAGCTGCCAATGTTATATGACACTTTAAATACTAGTAAAAGTGTAAGAGCCTTTAAAATGCAGTAGCACTTTTGTGTCCTCCCTTGCCATTCACGCCAAGGTGATCATTCCTTTTTGCCGCCCCCAGGGGACGTGGTGGTGCAATTCCTCCTCCCCCGCCTGGTCGAGGTGCCCAAGCACCCCGAGGAGCACCGGTGACCCGTGGAGCCCTCCCTGTCCCACCAGTGGCGAGGGGCGTCCCCACACCTCGCGCAAGGGGCGCCCCGGCTGTCCCAGGCTACAGACCACCCCCGCCACCTGCACACGAGGCCTATGAAGAATATGTAAGTAACCACATGCATTCGTAACATGTGTGAGCCAAGGTCTGCGGTGAACATAGAGTACCTCTGGTCTGGAGAACTCCAGGTCAATAATTCCTTTGTCTCTGCTGCTTACACCTGCTGGTGAAATACAGTCTGGGCGATGCAGGGTGTCTCCAGAGCTGTGGTTTTGGTGATGTGGGTTCGTAGAATTGTTCACAGCACAGTTTTGGATATGAGAAGGTCATGCTGGGTAGATCTAAGGATGTTGTGAAAGAGCAATACAGATACTCTAAAGATTATATTATAATTAAAAGTCACTCATTACTGTAGGCAAGTTCTTAGGAATAACAGATAATATCCATTGTGAGAAAACGAATCTTTTGTTTTTCAAAAACCTTTTTGTTACATGTAAATATATATATGTATATTTGTATTCAGCATTGTGTTACAGATACATAACAAATAGAAATTCAGGTACTTTTCATGAAAGCTGATACAGTGATGCATATTTAGCAAACAGCGGAACTGTCACCTTTTCTTACGAGATGTTAAAAATAATTGTTCTGTAAACATCAAAGCTTTCAAGTCATCCTCATTAATGTTCCCTTCTGGAACTATCACCATAACAACAGATATCCAGGTAGAGAGTAAAGTACTATCAGTTACGACGTCTGACTTTTTCCAGCTGTGGCAAATCCAAGGGTGAAATGAACATCCCACCCATTCTGTAATTCTATCGTAAGAAGAACTGTTGAGAAGATACACTATAATTGAGAAGATGAAGTTTTATTCAATTAATAGTCTTAGAACAGAAAAAAAGTAAACTGAAACAGAAATTAATCTTTGTTGATAAAGCTTTACTCAACCATCTGTATTTACAGAGAGTAGATCACGGCCACTTCAGATCAGGGACACACATTCTGTTAATGCCAAGAGTCACAACTGAACAACAGCCGCAAAAAAAGGAAGAAAGTTACTCTCTGTTGTTATTTACCTCAACACAGTTTCCATCTTTAATGAGAAAAAGCTCAGCTAAAAAAGGAACTTAAAAAATATACCCTTCCTTGATAGTGTATTATACATTAGTATCAAAATGTATGAGACTTTCCCTTCTGTGCAGAACTGCATCTTTTCTTAATCCATAAGTGACAGATTTCAAAACAGAGCCCTTGTAATGTAAGATTAATATTATAAATTAAGTAAATATTTTCTTCTTTTTCTTCATTTGTTTGTTTTTCATCTACAATACTGGTAAATGTCCTAGGGTATTAAGCAGTTTTTCAGGAACGTTTCTTACACTTTTTATGGGTGGTAAATATATGGAAAGTAGGAGGAGAAGTTGAGGCAGCTGGATTATCAAGTTTGGGAAAGCATTCAGCCAGTTCCACGTTTTTTGAGGTGCTTACACTCTCAGGAGCACAAAATACACACACAGTGAAAGGAGTCTTTGTAATAGATTACTCCAATAAAAACAAATGTGGTTTTGTTTTTATTTTGCTACTTAGATAGTAGCAAGAAACATATCACCTTATAGGACAAATCCAAATGTTTTAGAGATCCTTTCATCTCCTGTGTGCATGCAACATCTCTATTCCACTGGTAGGAATATATGGGTTTCCCCTGACTTGCTGTTATTCACCAGTTGTTTGCCATGAAAATCTTGCCCTCTTGCAAAGACTTGTAAGCGCAGTCTGAATCATCTTGGTATCTTATGGACTGAGATAATAATTAAAACTCTGTTGGGATGAAGGTAAAAGGAAAAGGTCACTGTCATACATCTATACATGAATTTGTAAATGATATTTTAGGGGGAAATATTTTTCATTTTGCAGGAAATAATCAATACCAGTTTTCTTCCCAAATAAACCATTACATCACATATCCTACTGGATACTAAAAGCAAGTGGATCTATTTGTTGACCAGCAGCAAATGTCATGCATAATTGTTCTTTCACAATGAATCCTAGAGATGAAAAAATAATTTTTAATGAATAATTTATCCAATTTACTTTGTCTCATTTTCTGCTTGTAGGCAACCTAAAAGCATATTACAATTTATGTGTAAAAGTTTTTCATTTTTGAGTACAGTGTTTCACTCCAATTTTTGCCTACTGTATGCAAGCACCATTGGTGTGCACGAGTGCAAAGTCATTGATTGTGTGTATCAGTATTTTTGATTTTTCTTTGCTCCAATAGAATATAGTCATTTGAATGCTGATCTGAAAGTGACTCAAGAAATAGAATAGGATGGCTGCAGCAGGTGTTTAAACAGCATTTCAGAAAATAAATCTTTAGATATTTGCTCAGCACTACTAATCACAGATTGGACTGACTGTTTGACCTTGAAACATCTAACTGTTCAAAGTGGTTTCAATAAGCATTTGAAAGTTTGGATGACTCTTTTGTAATTAGCCGATATCTAAATATTTTGAGGTTTCTTGATGGCTTTTCTGAGAGTCTATAAAAGCAGAGGTCTAAAGGTTTCTCAAGAAAAGTCTTGTCACCAGTGAAAATACTCACATTCAACACTTTGAATGTCAAGCCCGAGCAAAGAGAAAATTATTTGAAACAACTTTTGGAAGGGAAGGGCTAGTGACCCCCCTCATGCCTTTTTCTTTATTTACTTTTGAAACAGATATATAGCTTTTATTGCCATGTACATAATATCTTTGAGGAACTTCTGACAGGAAGAGGAGGTACAGACATATGGAAGATGTATGAAAAAGGAAATAAATACCTACTACATGAACCTTCCTCACTTTAAAAACAGCTCATTGTGTGTGAATTTGGGTGGAGAGCTTAACTAACAACACCTATGTGTAGCTTCTGGGATCAGAGAGGTGATCCTGGGTTTGTAACCTGGTGTCATGGTTTAACCCCAGCTGGCAACTAAGTACCATGCAGCCACTTGCTCCCACTGTGGTGGGACTGGGGGAGAGCATAGACAATCAGAAGAGTAAAAGTGAGAGAACTCATGGGGTGAGATATAGACAGTTTAACAGGTAAAACGAAAGCAGCTCATGCAAGCAAAGCAAAACAAGGAATTCTTTCACCACTTCCCACCAGCAGGCAAGTGCCAGGAAAGCAAAGCTTCATCATCCATAGTGATTACTTGTGAAGACAAATGCTTTAAATCTGAAAGTCCCCCCCCCCCTCCTTCTTTTTCCCCCAGCTTTATATGCTGAGTGTGCCATCATATAGTATGGGATATCCTTTGGGTCAGTTGGGGTCAGCTGTCCTGGCTGTGTGCCCTCCCAACATCTTGCGCACCCCCAGCCTCCTCGCAGGTGGGGTGGTGTGAGGAGCAGAAAAGGCCTTGACTCTGTGCAAGCACTGCTCAGCAATAGCTATAATATCCCTGTATTATCAACCCTGTTTTCAGTACAAATCCAAAACATAGCCCAGTACTAGCTACTGTGAAGAAAACTGACTCTATCCCAAACCAAACCAGCACACCTGGTGAATAAGAAGCTACTAACCTTAGTTCAGTGTGACCGATCTGTAAGTGCTCCTTTTCTGCTGAAGGAGACATCCAGCAGAGTTCAGTTTGGAGCAGAAGCTTGACCTGGTCATTGTGAACTTTATTCAGAAGATTCTTTCACTAAGCTGAACTTAGCCCTTTGTCGTTATTCTCTGAGATAAAATTTTACACTTTTAATCTACAGACACTGCCATACTGAAGATGTCCCTAGTTGCTGAAAGGGATTCAAAACTATATTAAAAAACAGCCTTCTGGACCTCAGGTTCTGTTGTGTTGTTTTGTTGTTTTTCTTTAACTGAAAATCACACAGAGTGGTTCCCCATTAAACGCATTATGGATCATACTCCTACTCCTTCCATAAATGCAGTACACAAATTAATTTGAATTACTGCTTAATTCGTCTTTCCATGTGTAGCAATACATGCCATGACCAGTTTGCAGCAATGACTGTCTGGAACCTTTCAGAAGCACTGATTTACCAGTGACCATGTCGTTATTCTGAGGATGCTGAAGAGCCTTCAGTGAATGGTAGGGAGTGCCAGGAGGCTACTCGGTTAGAACTAATGACAAGATGGTTGGTTGGGATTTATCAAACAAATTTTGTAAATTAGTTTCATATCTACATTGCATGGGGCAGAGATGTTTTGGTTAGAGAGAATGGTACTGGAATTGCATTTTAATTGCCTCTTTTCAACTTAAATCTTGTGTAGTTATGGTTGGGGTATAAGTTTTGTCTGTTAGAGGGCTGATGTCCCATCTACAAATCTTAAAGTGTTTCTATATCAGTGCACCAAGATAGGAGAGAGTAAATGAAAATATTGTTTCAGTTCTGCATCATCATCTTTATTGGCAAGGGCAATGGTAAGATTGATTTTGTGCCAGTTTTTCATTGCAAAAGTTAAGATTTGTTTGGTTGGGCATCTACTTTATCATGTGTGTGACATATAGTACGGAAAGTTAACACTACTATCATCTTTACAGATTGAGGGGAGACTTCGGGAGTCTTTTCTCAACAATAAGCTATTTTGAAGGCTAAGTAAGGTCTTGCTGAGAACTTATGAAATAGGCAATAGACATGAATGACTGAAGTTCATGATTTATACAAAAGTGAAGAGTTAAGAAGTGCTTGAGTAGATACTTTGCTGGAAGGAACATGCTATTGAGGCACTAAAGCCAGTGTTCAGCACTATATATTTTAATATGAGCATCCAGACTTTTTCACTCAAAATTAAACCTAAATATTTGAAGTGTACTTCACCCAAATATAAGCCAAAAATACCATTGTTTTCAGATCCTGTGTTGGAAGGCATTTGACTCTGGAGCTGTATTTTTGCCTTCTGAATCAGGAGCTAGTAATGAGCTGTGCAGTAATATTTTTCTCTACATTTTTTTAGAGCTATGATGAGCCTTGCTAAGAAGTCTAATGTGAATCTAGAAGTGACTTAGCACCCCAGATGCAAAGAATTGCCAAAAAAGAAAAATTTGGGACTAAAATATGCATTGCTTTTATATTTTACTTGCAAATGCATTTTTAGTCTGG